CAACTTTGATATTGTGTATCCTGTACATCTTAACTTCACCAGCATGTTTTGAACTTGTTAGTGTGATTTTTCCCCAATATAATGAGTTTTATACTTAAAAAAATAAAAATACACAATCCAAATAAAAGAGAGACTCCTTTCTTCATGTGGCTATTTTAGCTCTTTTAATGCCCCATTTAAATAAAATGTTCTGTTAGCTTTTCTGCATAGCTCTCAGATCAGGATATGCAAACTTGTGGAGGAGGTGGTGTTTTCTGTTGTCTGACACTGCTCACACCTAAGCAGATTTTCAACTGCTGTTTATCTGTGTGCTGTAAATACTACTGTGCTTTAACTCGTTTTTTAAAATGGTTTCCACTGTGTCATGTTTGTCTAGATAGCACAGTACCTTCCTCTTAGTAACTATGTTCAGGTGCTTCAACTAATTTTGTTGATAAGTAGATGGTTAAAACTGAAAGTGCTAACATTTTATGACTGCATTTGCTTATGTCCATTTTTAGCAGAATTCAGTTTAAAATGGAAATGAAAAGGGAAGGAAATTTGAAATTTGGTGTGCATGGACACCTTGCAATTTTGAAAATGGTTTTTAGATTGCCATGGGAAAACAAGGCTTACGTGATCAAAAGATAATGTCATCCTTCAGTCTTTCCACTGTTCTTTCGGTTTCCCATTTTTAAACCTGTTTAACCTATGTATGAATAAATAGTGATAACAGGGTAATAAAAACATAACCACAATGTAATAAAATAATTTTGAAGGACACTGTTATCTATAAAATAAGTGAAAATTAGCAGCCAGGTGAAGAGGAGACTTAGGTTATTACCCCCATTGAGAAGGCAATTTGATATCAACTGGTGCTTTTGCATGCATGGCTTTATATTAGCTTTAGGCTTTAGCTTTCTTCCTTGTGTGGGTATCAAAGGAATCTGGATTTGTTATAGTGATAGTGAATGCCATTTAGGGAACAAAGATCCCACTTTCTTAGGAAACCAGCCTGCATTATTTCTGCTAGTTGCAGACAACATATTTTCTTAGCAGTTATAAGCATTTGCAATTTGCATGCAGATTAGTACTTTTTATTCTGTAAATATTTCAGAGGAATTTGTGTGGCAGATATACACATAATTTAAGTGCTCTTCTTGCTATTATTTTGCTGTCTACTATAGTAGATCTGATGAAAGTGCTGGAAATTTTCTGTAATATGCCATCTGTTTTATTGTATGTTTTCTGGTTCACATGCAGTCACTGGCAAAATATGGCCATAGCTTAGAAAAGAGGCAGGACATTTATCTCTGATGTTACTTTTCATGGGACAGGCAAAATGCTTTAAAACTATTTAGAGTAAGAGAATCAGTGTTTACATTCTGCTACTATCCCATTCCTTTGCTTCCTTTAAGGTTTGCCTATAGGACAAGAATTCTGTATCTACAGGAGAACAGGCTTTGGAAGAGAGATGTTTTAATGTCTGAAAAAAATTTTTTTACCTTATATCCGAAAGCCTAAGCTTCCTTTGCAGTGAAATCAACAATATATAAAATTACAGTAGGTAAAAGTGGGTGCTTGCTGTAGTGTGTATAAAGTTGAGCCTATAAAAACAAAATACTTGAATCCTTCTACATTTGCATGCAGTGCATAGAACAGAACTGTCTGAATCTGAAATAAGACTTCTGAAGAATGTTTTACTGCAAGCAAAACCAGACTAGAATACAATGCTGTGCCAGACAAGTATTTTCCAGAACATCCCAAGTGCCTTAATTTTATTTTTTTTTTTTTTATTTTATGAGCTGCAGGGTGAATCTCATATAAAAATATAAACAATACTATAAAAAGTGGGGTAAGGAAGAGAGATCTGCTGTGGAAAATCTGCCAAAAATACTGGAGACAGGTGAAGAAAACTGAACTTAATGGTGTTATCACTAAAAGACAAAAATATAAGAAATTGGTATCTTGCGCTGTTCAATGTTGTAGTAGTCCATGTATTTTTGAAGTTAATCACAGTTCTCAATGACTCTCTTTCTGAGTATAGCATTTTTGTTGTCAGGATGGTTTTTATCCATTTTGTAACCACAACTAGTTTAAAAGCAGTTCTGAATTTTGAGAAACAAGAGGGAAACGTGGCAGGTAGTTTTCTAGAATTGCATATTTTGATTTTGGGGAGATAGGCATTATTATTAATTTTCTTTATCAAACTATAGATAGCCCATCATTTTATGAGAGTAATGATTGTGTTTTTTCTAAAGAATATAATATGGTAATAACTATTAGCAGCTGTAGAATTGGAAGTGCTTTGATCTAAAGGGGCCTTTTGTTTACTGGGAATGCATTGTGTGGGGTAGGAGATGAAGTGACAGTTTTAAGGGGCTATATTATTTTCAAATTGTTGAACATTAAAATATATCCTCCCTCCACTTGAAGAAAATATTAATTTTATGAGTTGAAGTACTTCTCTTCTAACTCCCATTTTGGAAATCAACAGGCTAATGATCCATTTTTCCTCAGTATGGTGTAATTTTAAACTCTGTTAAAGAAAGCAAAGACAAAGTTCATAACTGCCAAGTGAGAAGGCTTCACAATGGTTCAGTTAGTTGGCTTCCCATCTTCGTTACTTCCTGTGCACAAGACTAGACATGGGTCAGAAACAGAACATCAGTGATGCATACCAGGAGCTGAAATAGGATGAATGTTGGGACACTTGAAACTGTTGCTAAAACCTCTTCACTTTTAATATGTATTACAGCTTACTTGGAAGTCAAACCGATCCATAGATGTTCAGGGATTTCTCCTTAGTTTGATGTTTTTCAGAGTACGTGTTTCCGTGGCAGGAGTAGGTTTAGTCTGTGCCTGTAATATTCATACCAGTATTTAATTTCTTAAAATACATTTCTAGTACATTGTAGACTGTGATTGTATGTACAATACTCCATGGAGTCAGTGCATTTTAAGGAGCTTTTTTTGTTTTGTGGGTTGTTTTGGGTTTTTTTTGGTGATTCTTCTTTTCTGTAAGGAATTATATGTGAGGGGTATAATACAGATCAGAGGTTCAGCTACATGTGTATATGTAAAGGGAAGCAATTAACAATTCTATATTTCTTCACAAACCCTGCACTCAACACTGCTTAAAATACTAGCTTTTATAAACTTTTTGGCAGTAAAAAAAAATAATTGCATTTTGAAACAAGGCAATAAAATCTTGCATTAAATCTGTGTTCATTTGGATGTCCTGTGCAAACATCTCCCTTTTAACTAAGAAGTTAGTCATGGCCCTTGTGTATGTGGTACAATTTGTGGCTGTGCTGCAAAGTTTTCTGCTGCCTTTTCTTCCCTCAAACCTTAGAGCACCATTGATCATCCTGATCTTTCTGCCATACCACCAAACATAGTTTCATAGTATGTCATAAACATAAACCATGTTTAAAATAGCTTGCATTTCAATCAGAGTATACCATATTTAAAAATACATGCAGTGTTGTTTTATGGTTTCCTAAGCTGTGAGAAATGTAGTTCCTACTCTGCTTGATTGCCTCCACCCTGTGTTTACCACTGAAAACTTGTTTTCTTTCATGGGTTAGAGTTTGCAAGGATGTGAGGGAGCAAGGCTGTGCTTGTATGCGGGTCAGCAAAGTGTGCCATAGTCTTCTTGTAAGACATCTCATTCCAGCTTGTTCCACCAAATCAGATCCTCTCACTGGAATCTGTCCTGTTGCTGTCAATGCTAGTAATTTAATTGTCAATTATAGTAAAATGTTAGTTTTCAGAAATTTCATTTTGGTGAATATATACTGAACTGTTGGAATTCCTTGTTGTTAGAACTGTATTTGAAATATTTCCATATTTATTTGAGGCATGTATGTTTTTTGATTTGGGCTAGAACAGTAACCTAAGAGGAGGCTTGCTTGCAAATTTGCACCTTCTCAATGTGCAAAATAAAGGTGGGGGGAGGATGAGATTAATACCTTTTTCAAAGTTTCTAAGTATTTGACTGATGGTGAGTTAGTCTTTTTAGCAAAAGCTTATATTGTGCAGCTCTCCTAATTAGATTTGCAGTTTTCATCTTCATTCATAAAAAGGGTATTATAATAATAGAATGGTTTAGTTTGGAAGGGACCTTAAAGAACATCTAGTTTCAACCCCTCTGAATGGTCAGGAATACCTCTCACTAGACCAGGCTGCTCCAAGTCCCATCCAGCCTGGCCTTGAACACTTCCAGGGGTAGGGGACATCCACAACTACTCTGGATAACCTGTGCCAGTCTCTCAGCACCCTTACACTAGTTTCTTCCTAATGTCTAATCTAAATCTACCTTATGTTGGCTTAAAACCATTCCCCCTCATCCAATCACTACATGTCCTTGGAAAAAGTCCCTCTTAGCTTTTTTTCAGTGGGCCTCCTTCAGGTACTGGAAGGCTGCTGTAAGGTCTCCCTGAAACCTTCTCCAGGCTAAATAACCCCAACTTTCTCACCCTGCCTTCGTAGCAGAGGTGCTCCAGCCGTCTGATTATCTTCATGGACCTCCTATGGATTTGCTCCAACAGCTCCAAATCCTTCTTAAGTTGGAGGCCTCAGAACTGGACACAGTATTCCACGTGGGGTCTCATGAAGAGAAGTAGAGGGGGAGAATCACTTCCCTCAACCTGCTGGTAATGCCTTTTTTGATGCAGCCCAGAGTATGGTTGGCTTTATGGGCTGCAAGCACACATTGCTGGGTCATGTTGAGCCTCTCATTAACCAAGACTCCCAAATCCTCCTCCTCAAGGCTGTCCTCAATCCATACTCCACCCAACCTGTATTTGTGCTTGGGTTTGCCCTGATCCCTCTGCAGGACTTTGCCCTTGGCCTTGTTGAACTTCATGAGATTGGCGTGGGCCCACCTCTCAAGCCCATCAAGGTTCCTCTGAACAGTGTCCCTTCCCTCCAGTGTGTCAGGTGCACCACACAGCTTGGTGTCATCAGAAAACTTGCTGAGAGCGCACTCAATCTCACTGTCCGTGTCACTGATGAAGATGTTAAACAGTGCTGGTCCCAATATCAGTTCTCAAGGAACATTGCATGTCACTGGGTCTCCACTTGGTCTTCAAGCCATTAACCACAAAACTTGTGAGTAAGACCATCCTACCAATCCCTTATCCATCAGTCCATGTCTTTCCAACTCAGAGAGAATCTCTGGCAAGTCTAGGCTTTCATTTTAAATGTTTATTTCAAACACGTTCTGTTTAATAGACTTCATGAATTATACAGAAAAATTATGGCCAGTTTTACTAATAAAATAATTTCACATCAGTATTTTTCATTTTCCCTTGTAGAAAGTTTTAGAACAGTTGCAATAGTTTAATTATAATTTTGATTACTTTTAAAGAGTTTTAAATGGTTTTTTAGACACTGAAAATCCAGCATATTTAGAATAAATATTTAATACTTAAGAAATGTTTGCTTTGTGATTAGTGAAAAAACATAAATCATAATTTTTATTGACAATGTATAGTTGGCATAAGATATATGTCAATACATCACTAGTGTAGGATTTATGACAAGACATAAATCTTGATAAAGTTGATAAAATGTTTTGTGTACTGTTTTGTTTTCAAATTTGACAAGAGGAAATGCGAACTATGAAATATAAAGTTTCCTGGGATTTTTTTTCTCTCAGAAAAGCTAGACTGTATGTTGTTCGCATGTTTGCTGATCTTGGAATTGCTCCTTTCATTCAGGATCTAGAGACTTGTAAATTCAAGGAGCTTGGGTTCAATGCAGTAGATGGGCATGGAAATGAAAAATTTGTGAAGGCCTAGGGTGTTCAATCTGAGCTTTCCTTGGCAAAGCAGGTAGCTCTTGAGAACTCATTACAGTAAATTTTCAGTTTAATATTGAGATTATGATTAAATTGTCTCAGGAGAAAAAGGTAGAAATTCTAGACTTTGTTAGCACAAGTACCTGCTGTTTAAACTGAAGATCTGTGACACTCATTTCAGAGACAAGAGGCTCTGTGTGATATACTGCCTGGCTTTCAGGGGTCTCATGTGACAAGCAACTGTTAGGCAGCATTTTCAGAGATGGCAGATAAGAGAAGCTTAGGACATCAACTGGTTCTTACAGTGTTGAGCTGCCAAGTGGGTAAACTACTTAAAGTTATCCGCACTTGATAAATACTGCTGTTGCTGTCATATACTGTTAGTTGTTAGACTTTATGCGAGAGCCAGAGCCAGTACCCCAGCCCCATCTTCTGGGACTCTTTCTTACAGTATCTGTATGTCCCAGTAGACTAACAGGCTTTTTTTTAAAGTTTCTAGTGTGTTAGGTAGGTCTGTCACAGTATGTATCATAATTTGTGAAAAAAACATTCTGGGAATTACTTTCATTTTTTTTAGGCTGGTGAAGCACTTAAATACTTACAGATGTAAGCTAAAAAGTGTCTTGCCTTTAGAGAGAACGAAGTAGGAGCATTTGCTTTTGCAGATGATTTTAAACACATCCCCTTTCATGAAAGGTGAGGATGTGTTCTGTGTTGGAAGATGAGCAGGAATGCATTTCTTCAAAAGCTCTCTTCTATCAGTCAGATGACTTTGCTTGTTACGGCAAATTGATCCTTACACTGATTTGGCCGTATCACAACCCACTGTGTCCTTGAGAAAGTTTGCTGTACTCAAAAATAAGAGTAATTCCTTTGAACTGATGCCAATTTTGTGTCCTTACTTTTTTTTCCACCTTTCAAATTGACTGTGGCATTGTTTTAGAGAAATGAGGCCACTTGCAGGAATGTCCTGAGAAAACTAGAAAAGAGACCAGATTTGGAGTTTCATATTTAAATAATGTCATTTTTTTTTAAATGCAGTAAGGTAAATGAAAGCACACTAATACTCTTTAAAACTTCTGTGAAAACTGTGTTGTAGTTTCAATTATTACATTAACATTTTTGCTCTTAAGTGATTAATTACTGCTCATATTAAACATCTCTGCTAACCCATGAACAACTGTGAACTTAAATACATAGTAACCATCACAGTTTCTGAGTAGCAGAAGAATACTGGCTGGTGCATGATTAAAGACCCTGCTGTTAAGTGTATGGATATCTGCTTAGACTTGCACATCCAGTGTTTGTGTTTGAGATGTCCTTGTAGCCAGGGGTAAAGTAGTAAGAACACCATCTGAAACTGATTGTTTCCCTGTAATCTGTGATACAGTGTCTGTCACTTTACATTGAGTTGACATATCTTTAAATTAAGTAAAACATCACTGAAAATCAGGCTTCATATATGAACATTCAAATTCCAAACACCAAAAATTAAAATTCAAAACATTCAAATTCAAACACCAAAAAAATGTTTCTAGTTAATAAAAAAAAAATTGTTCTGCTCTTAAATTTCCACCTCTTTATTTCTCTGTTTTTGTTTTGTTTTGTTTTAATTTTATTTCTATTTTTTTTAGTGAGTGACAGTTGCTTCAGGAACCTTGCCGAGGATCGTAGTGGGATAAACCTTAAAGATCTGGTCCAAGACCCTTCTTTGTGAGTATCTGGCTCTTATCTTAAGCAAAGAAAAGCTTATTTGTTACATCCTTCTGAGTAGATTTGTAATTATATAAAGGAGTAGTATGATGAATTACACTTAGTGCCTTAGTGGTAGTATGCTTGCCAAATTGATATGCTTTATTTCAGACAAATATTATTAAAACCACCATTGTTTTTTTTTTACCTACTCCTGTTCATGAACTAACATTCAATAAGCACATATGGTAAAGGGTGTGAGAGCAGTCATCAAAGGTAACAGATTGTGCATGGCAATATTTCTGTGAAGGAGTTGTATACACATTGTGACCCCTCTTTGTTTAAGGAGGAACTGCATATAAATTAGGAGATTACTGGATAATCATGTTATCGTCAATTAATCTTTACATGTAGAATCTTTTTTCTTTGTATTTTATTTCATACAGCTGATATTTATTTCTTCCTCTACTACCTATTTTAATTCAAGTATATGAACAGATGATCTGATTTTTACTTCTTAGCAAAACGGGTGTTCTTCATCTTAGTGTTGTATTTTACTGTAAAATAAAATTCAACCTCATGAACCTTGAGCTATATTTGAAGCCTTTTCGGTGTGTTTTTTTTTGTCTACAGCTAACTTTAGTCCTAGCTGAAAATGTTCTTGCTAGTGTGCACAAGTGTACCACTTGTTATGAGAAAAGGGAAAGTGGGGATAAATTCCCATATTTTAAACACAAATGGTAGTGCATTCCACAGTGGTGAACCTTTACACTAGCAGAACACATTTTTGGTATTGCTTGGGAAGCAGTGGAAAATAAGGTGTATTTGACATCTTATTTCAGTTTTGGGGAATTTTTAATAATAAAGTAGATGTAGAATTTATTTTGTCATGTTGCTACAGGTGAAGGGTGTATGTGCATATGTGTATATTCTTAGGAAATTTTGGCATAACATGTAATATTCGATAATTTATACTTTTGCAATAATGGTACAGGTGGCAAGTATAATTGTTGCTCAAGATTCACAGAATTAATGCAATCGGTCATTTTTTAATAATTACTATCCAAGTTGAAGTCAAGCCTATTTCAAAGGGCTTAATTTTCAACAAAAATTTGCCTTTTGAGTATTTGCTGTTTTTTCTTTTTAAGAACTGTATGGGGGGGTTTTCAGCTGCAGGTGTGCTTACGTGCTACACATAGTTTTGGTTTTGCATCTCTGGAATTGACTTTCAGAAAGCCTGAATTGCCCTTGTTGTGGAATGATTGCTTTCCTTGCTATTCACCAAAAGTGATGAAGTTGTCTAGTTTCCTTCCATAACTGTAACTTACATGAAGAAGATAGTAATAGATTATTGTAGCCTGCAAAATAAGTGAAATCGATTTCTGTTGTTTATAGCTTAAGAAGCATAAGTGACTGCAATGTAGTGATTTTTATCACTTTGAAAAATTGAATGACATCTCAAAACATCTGTTAAGTTTCGAGGACTGTTCATGACACTGTTGTATCACACTACAGTGCACGAAAACTCTGCTTCTTCCAGCCTAGTGATAGGAATGTATAGACTTTGTTTTGTCTTTCCAAATTGACGTTCTTTCAGTTTTATGACTGAGTGCCTTTTAAGAGTTCTTGCAAAATGTGTAATAGTGTGTAGGAATCTCCAAAATGCAGAAACTAGCTAAGGCTGTATTGTTCAGCTCAGCCTTTTATAGGTGAACGTAAGGTCTCGTGATGTCTGAATTCCTACAGAATACAAAAAGAAATGCAAAGGACAGCATAGAGCCAAAGCATGAAAGTACAAGCCAGTTTTGACCTTTTTAGAAATAAGAATAAAGTTTAATTTCAACTTTCAGAGTATTTGGCTAAGATTTTCCCCTATAATGATACCTGAAATAGCAAAATAACATTTGATTCATCCTCTTAATTTTTTAATATTTACAAGTTAGGATTTCTTTGGTGCTTATTAGCTCTGACTATAGGTGAACTGCCTCTTTTTTTGGTAATCTAATATCAAATACCAACATCTGATTTACATTAAAAATTCTGATGCTTTCTCTATGAATGCCTCTGTCTCTCTAAAGGTTTGCAGTGCATCTGTAATCTATGACATTAATAAAATAGTTTTAACAAAGAGAGTGCAAGAGATTTTAGGATCATTAACATATAAATAGATAATAAGTGTATACTTTTAACAGGAGTTCACATTACTAGCAGATGTTGGGTTAGCAGCAGAGATAGAAATATAGTACAATACACCATGAAGATAGTATAAAAAAAATAAGTTTAAGTGATTTTAGATTAGGATGGTTTGACACATCATGTAAATTGCATTTTGAATGGCATCCATTTCTTGTGAGTCTTAGTGACTTTGTACAGTTTTTTTAAGCTATGTTGGCATCTCCCATGTTGTCTCCTCTCAGCTCCATCACAGTCAACTTTTTCTCTTGTTATTGCAGAAGGCTTTTTCTGGAGAGCTGAAAGTGTGTCTTCACATTGAAATGGAACTCTATAATAAAGATACCATTGTAGGGTTTTTTGATTTATATCAAGCATGCCTAACTGTCACAGTACTCTTTTTTTCTCCTAGTTGATTTCCCAGTTAGAACAGTCTGGACTTTGTAAACTTAATCTGCTTTCAGTTCTTTCCTCATTAGTAATAAAAACTTTGCTGCTTATAATCGGGTGTTTGATCATCTCTTTCTATTTGTGTTTTACTCTGTTGATTAAAATAGAAATGCTTGAAACTTCATCTAGTCCAACCCTCCTGCAATGAGCAGGGACATGTTCAACTAGATCAGGTTGCTCAGAGCCCTGTGATGCTGTGTACAGTGCCCAGTTTTGGACACACAACTTGAAGATACAGAGGTGTGTAGCAAAATGGTAAGAGAAGGTGGTTTAGCAAATGCAGTGCATGACAGGTAGTGTTTAATTTAGAAAACAGTGGCAGAAGAGAGGAAGTATGAGATGCCTACAGTATATAAAAGATTATTAAAGAGATTGTTCTTTTTGGCTGATAAGAAAGGGTTAGTCCAATTTATAGCAAATGAGATTGTTTGGATGGTTGGAAAAATTCTACATGTCACTGTGATAAAGAAACCGGAATCTGTTTCTAAGAATGTCAGGGAGAGCTCTTCAAATTAGAGTCTACATATATTTGATCCTGTCCAAGTATAGAGAGCTGGAAGTGCAAACCCTTTTTTTGTTTTCTTTTTTTTTTGTTGTTTTCTCTTTCTTTTTTCCTCCTTTTTCCTATGAAAAAGGTATGCATTCAAGTTTGGCCTGAGCATAGGTAGTATGACCAAAACCAGATGGAACTTACTTTGGTTGCTATGTTGGTAATTTCATGTGACTGTGCATTTTCAAATCATCTGATTTGGTTTAGATGATGCACCCACTTCAGCCCTGAGCTACCATTCCAGTAACACAAAAAAAATATTTAAATTTTTGCATTCTGCAGAGATTTATTTACATGAGAAGAGTGTAGGTGTCATTCCATGAATGGTCCTAAGCAGCAGAACTGCAGAAAGCTGGTGTAATCAAAGAAACTAGTCTGGTGGTTCTTAGATGATGCTGCAGATGTTCTTCGGAATATGTGCAACTGAGATAAAATGTAGTAGAGCAGCTTAAGCTGCTTATGTGTGGGGAGATCTTTGAGGCTCTGTAGCAAGGCAAAATTTATTTTGCTGGTGCTCAAGAAAAGACAGGAAATTGATCAATTCATGTGACTCCTTGCTCTGGAGCAGACTGCATGATAGCCTCTTTCTTCCACTACTTCTCCATCCTCAATACCCATTCTGTGCTTTGAAGAGTAGTGGGTTACATAGAACTCGATGTGCCTATTTGCTGGAACTCCTAGGTTCTTCTGATTTCTTCTATCTGTAAGTTATTTAAATACACTTCTGAAGCATGAACCATCAGATCTTTAGGTGGCTAGGTATATGTCTGCCTACTTCAAGGAGAAGTTTTATGTGTAGACATTCCCAAGTTTAGCTTTTAGAATCGCCTCATAAAATATTTCTTTCAGCTCTAGCCTGTATATAGACATAAAGTTTATAAAATACTTGTCTAGACAGAAAGGAGAATTTTTTATCTTTCTATGCAATTCAGTAGCTGCAGCTACTAGCTGCACATATTCACTGATACACATTTGTTTTGGAAGCATCTTCAGAGCTTCTTTGTGATGAACAAGGTCCAAGAGAATAGAATCATAGAATGGTTTGGGTTGGAAGGGACCTAGAAGATCATCTAGTTCCAACTCCTGCAAGGGTAGGGACACCTTCCACTGGACCAGGTTGTACAAAGCCCTGTCCAACCTGGCCTTGAACACCTGCAGGGAGGGGATATTCACAACCTCCCTGGGCAACCTGTTCCAATATCTCACCACCCTAATGGTAAAGAATTTATTCCAAACGTCTAAAATAAATCTCCTCTCTTCCAGTTTAAAACCATTGCCATTACTTCCTTCTATCTAGGCAAAATCTAATCACATCTAAACTGTGTTTCATATCTCCTTCAGGTTAGCTGACCTCAATTAGGAAAAAATAGGTAGATCTAAAAGTTAACTTTAACAGTTTTAATAATCTGCAAGTTTAATAGGTCTCTGTTACAAACTCCTGTATTAACTTTGAATTCCATTTGTCCATGGCAGGAGACAGAAGTATGACAGAAGTTGCCTTTGTCAGTGCCTTGTTGTATTTTGCAACCTTAGAGGAAGGAATTGGATGCTACGTGAATGACATGCCTGTTCAGTCTCAGTAATGCAGAACAGAGAGGAAACATTTCTTCTCTAATCCCATCCATGGTTATCTTGTTTTGCAGCAGCATTCTAGAGGGACTCCATGCTCAGCTGTTTGTCCATTATTTTGACTGTATTAGCACATGTTTTCCCTAATAAGCCGGGCTTACAAACACGCTTCTTCTGCCTCTCTTGTCTCCTTTCAGTGAGCTCATCTGTAGGCATCAGGTGATTACATCAGATGATCTTTGTCAGGGCAACTAGAGGACTCCCTGTGGTAGCCCAATTT